ATTGACCAAAACAACTGTTTACTCACTGTTGTGGGGGTGCTCCATGTGCATCACTCGGAAGCGATCGTACGGAAAATAGCATTCAGAATCGTTCGGGTACAAGCGCTTTCGAGGTAAAAGTTGTATGTGTGATTGTCAACTTTCGCGATTTGGTAAGCTGTGTTCTGATTGGTCAATTTAAAAGGTTAGCTGACGCGACCTTCTACTAGGGTTTCTTAGACTCAGTATAAGCAGTGTAACGAATAATACTGAGTCTAAGTTTACTTAGACTGCTGTTTTCTGTTAGAGAAGACTAGTCTCCAAGCAGTAGATAGCTAGTAGGATATAGGATAGAGTAGTGTACACCTCATCCAGGTAATGTAATCCTCATCCATCCTGTATATGTGAACTTCATCCCAATACCCTGAACCCATTCAAAGCCACAGCATCTCTAATCAAGACTTACAAGCGAGAGAGTGAGTGAGAAAGGTGGGTTTAATCCTGTTTTCAACACTATTCCAGTATATCACATCAGCTTGGCAGCTTGCTTCTAGGACGGAGAAGTGCGGAGAAGTGATGAGTTTGTGGGGCTTTGGGAATTCCCCACACTAGATGTGTCTTTCATCCAGCAGTACACATACACCCTGAAATATGGGATGAGCACCGCACTAGCAGCCCAGGTTGCATACTTTCTAAGGGAGCTGAGAAATGTACTCTTAAAACAAGTAGGGGAAACTGAAATTTCGATTTGGATAGGAAGTATAAGTATTAACAAATATTTCAAAGACAGACATCTTATGAATACACAACCATTTCTCTTTATTCACAATGCATGGGATGCACGTCCACAACGCAGTAGCCCCATACGCGTGCATGGGGTATCATTCTTGATTTTGACGGTTTTCAAGAAGGTTGATAACTCACTGTAGACCATTAATTTTAACAATCATCTTGCATCACACAGTTGTTAGTGTTCGTTTCTAGGGTTTTTTTGTTTGAGAAAGAAAATCGTACACATGCAAATTTCACGTCACACACCAATCATCTGCCAAGAGTGATTACTGTACAAACAACTATGGTCATAAGGAAGTGCAAGTGGTGATAACATTCACTATTATTATATCAACATTGATTGACTCCAATATATCTCCCATTTTTATCAGTTGTGAATTAAAAATGAAGTTCCCCTGCTCTTTTTTTTAAGAGTATACAATAGAATAGCACAATGATCCCTGCAGTAATAATGGAGTTAGCAATTTCAGCATGCATTAACGAATAGACTGTAGTGCATTACAAACATCCATTTTCTATTTTTCAGATGCAAATCAAATCTATGGTTACAAACAGGTACAGGGTATTATACCGGAGAATCCAGGATGGCAAAATGTGTAGGAATAAAGCTTCTTGTGTTCTTTACGAATACGTTAGCACATGTTACTTTTGTTCCACAGATATGCACATACATAAAGACAGGTTGGGCTATGACCAGTCCTGTAGATCAAGGTATCTATCATTGGTATAGTCATGTAATGAAGATACACACTATACAACAAGTTGTCAGGAAATCACTATTTGACCTATATACTGTAGGCCTGATACAGTTGTGGCTTACAGGAAACTACAACTACCAGAACAAATAAAGATTAAAACCAATTTCATGTATTAAGTGTATAACAATAGTTATAAAAAGACATCAAAATATCGATGTTTCAAACAAGTTGCAGTGAAAGACTTGGGACCTCGGGTCCAACCTCTGCTATACAGAGAACTATGTATCACGTTGAGTCATCGACTCACTGACATTTGCTTCTTATATCCCTGGAGTGAGTTGGTCTTAAAATCACCTTTAAACGTATTAAATATTGTTTAAATTGCATCAGCTTCGTTTGAACAGTTTCATGTGATTAGAATATCCCAAAATGATGCATGCTAAAGATGCACTGTACTTGGACTTATCAGCAAATCCCTGCACTGGTAAGGGACACCAACTCTGCCCGAAATATGATAACAATGGGGACTCTGGTGTCCTGACTATCAGACCATAATTTCAAACCTATCTTGAAGGTCTGAGATGTTAAACACACAACAATAACAAGAAGACAAAGTCATCAATATCCCCCGGCAATGGCAAAATACTCTTCATGATTATGTCTCCACACGAAGTTATGATTATGTCAAATATTTAGGTGTGTATATAGAAAGTGGAAGGGAGAGTATTGAAAGGTTTTAAAAGTTCAAAAGAGCACTACCACCAATTTCAGGCTAAGTCAAACTTGTTGCCACGGAAAAAGCCAAAAATATTTTATTCAGAATTCCAAAACTACCAAAAGGCACCAGTACACCACCAGATCTATCTATGTGCCAAGTTTGGTGAAGAAATAGTGAACGGTTTCAGAGTTCAGCTCCGAAAAAACACTACCACTAATTTCATTCTAAGTCAAACTTGTTGCCACGGAAAAGCCAAAAATATTTTATTCAGAATTCCAAAACTACCAAAAGGCACCAGTACACCACCAGATCTATCTATGTGCCAAGTTTGGTGAAGAAACATTGAACGGTTTTAGAGTTCTGCTCCGGAAAAGAGCACTACCACCAATTTCAGTCTAAGTCGAACTTGTTGCCATGGAAATGCCAAAAATATTTTATTCAGAATTCCAAAACTACCAAAAGGCACCAGTACACCGCCAGACCTATCTATGTGCCAAGTTTGGTGAAGAAATAGTGAACTGTTTTAGAATTCTGCTCCGGAAAAGAGCACTACCACCAATTTCAGGCTAAGTCAAACTTGTTGCCACGGAAAAGCCAAAAATATTTTATTCAGAATTCCAAAACTACCAAAAGGCACCAGTACACCACCAGATCTATCTATGTGCCAAGTTTGGTGAAGAAATAGTGAACGGTTTCAGAGTTCAGCCCGAAAAGAGCACTACCACTAATTTCAGTTCTAAGTCGAACTTGTTGCCATGGAAAAGCCAAAAATATTTTATTCAGAATTCCAAAACTACCAAAAGGCACCAGTACACCACCAGATCTATCTATGTGCCAAGTTTGGTGAAGAAACATTGAACGGTTTTAGAGTTCTGCTCCGGAAAAGAGCACTACCACCAATTTCAGTCTAAGTCGAACTTGTTGCCATGGAAATGCCAAAAATATTTTATTCAGAATTCCAAAACTACCAAAAGGCACCAGTACACCACCAGATCTATCTATGTGCCAAGTTTGGTGAAGAAATAGTGAACGGTTTTAGAATTCAGCTCCGGAAAAGAGCACTACCACCAATTTCAGGCTAAGTCAAAACTTGTTGCCACGGAAAAGCCAAAAATATTTTATTCAGAATTCCAAAACTACCAAAAGGCACCAGTACACCACCAGATCTATCTATGTGCCAAGTTTGGTGAAGAAATAGTGAACGGTTTCAGAGTTCAGCTCTGGAAAAGAGCACTACCACCAATTTCAGGCTAAGTCAAACTTGTTGCCACGGAAAAGCCAAAAATATTTTATTCAGAATTCCAAAACTACCAAAAGGCACCAGTACACCACCAGATCTATCTATGTGCCAAGTTTGGTGAAGAAATAGTGAACGGTTTCAGAGTTCAGCTCCGGAAAAGAGCACTACCACTAATTTCATTCTAAGTCGAACTTGTTGCCATGGAAAAGCCAAAAATATTTTATTCAGAATTCCAAAACTACCAAAAGGCACCAGTACACCACCAGATCTATCTATGTGCCAAGTTTGGTGAAGAAATAGTGAACGGTTTCAGAGTTCAGCTCCCGAAAAGAGCACTACCACTAATTTCATTCTAAGTCAAACTTGTTGCCATGGAAAAGCCAAAAATATTTTATTCAGAATTCCAAAACTACCAAAAGGCACCAGTACACCACCAGATCTATCTATGTGCCAAGTTTGGTGAAGAAATAGTGAACGGTTTTAGAGTTCAGCTCTCGAAAAGAGCACTACCACTAATTTCATTCTAAGTCGAACTTGTTGCCATGGAAAAGCCAAAAAATATTTTATTCAGAATTCTAAAAACTACCAAAAGGCACCAGTACACCACCAGATCTATCTATGTGCCAAGTTTGGTGAAGAAACATTGAACGGTTTTAGAGTTCTGTCTCGAAAAGAGCACTACCACCAATTTCAGTCTAAGTCAAACTTGTTGCCATGGAAATGCCAAAAATATTTTATTCAGAATTCCAAAACTACCAAAAGGCACCAGTACACCACCAGATCTATCTATGTGCCAAGTTTGGTGAAGAAATAGTGAACTGTTTTAGAGTTCTGCTCTGGAAAAGAGCACTACCACCAATTTCAGGCTAAGTCAAACTTGTTGCCACGGAAAAGCCAAAAATATTTTATTCAGAATTCCAAAACTACCAAAAGGCACCAGTACACCACCAGATCTATCTATGTGCCAAGTTTGGTGAAGAAATAGTGAACGGTTTTAGAGTTCAGCTCTGGAAAAGAGCACTACCACTAATTTCATTCTAAGTCGAACTTGTTGCCATGGAAAAGCCAAAAATATTTTATTCAGAATTCCAAAACTACCAAAAGGCACCAGTACACCACCAGATCTATCTATGTGCCAAGTTTGGTGAAGAAACATTGAACGGTTTTAGAGTTCTGTCTCGAAAAGAGCACTACCACCAATTTCAGTCTAAGTCGAACTTGTTGCCATGGAAATGCCAAAAATATTTTATTCAGAATTCCAAACTACCAAAAGGCACCAGTACACCGCCAGACCTATCTATGTGCCAAGTTTGGTGAAGAAATAGTGAACTGTTTTAGAGTTCTGCTCCGGAAAAGAGCACTACCACCAATTTCAGGCTAAGTCAAACTTGTTGCCACGGAAAAGCCAAAAAAATATTTTATTCAGAATTCCAAAACTACCAAAAGGCATCAGTACACCACCAGATCTATCTATGTGCCAAAGCTTGGTGAAGAAATATTGAACGGATTTAGAGTTCTGCTCGGAAAAGACAAAATGTGCATCTTTTCGGACGGACGGATCGGGGATAAAACAGTCGTCCTCCAAATGTCAGCATGATTGGTTCACTGAGAGGGCAGGCAGCTTTGTTTGGGTGGCTCTGTTACACCGACTAGAATCAGTAGGTCAGTAATAACTGAATGATAATACAGACACTATTAAGCAGTATACAACAATATCAGGTCTGACTTGATGACATACAGTTTCATCAACAAAGGCTTACATGTTATATTTGGGATTACACTTTCTCAGTAAAGCACCAGAATCTGTACTTTTCTAAGAAAGTGTAATCCCAAATATAACACGTTACATTTGACCACTTTCTAAATGGCAATGTGTATTCATAACAAAGGCTAACATACATGACTTCAACCAGACATTCAGAGCACCTTTAGAATTCAGCACTAAAACATCTCGAGAGGAAATCTCTGCTGTGGGGCACATGTCACTAGGAAAACCAATCAGTTTTTGTTAGAATTCAACAGACTGGAAATCGCCACCTTCGTATTGTTAAAAAACAAGTAATGCTTCCATAAAAACAAAATGCATCTATACAGCGGCTCCTGCCAGGGCATGTTGCTGCAGGCTGCAGGAAGTAAACTAAGATGAAGCTTCTCAACATCGCTGGCCTTATTCAGGCATCAGTGAGATGAAAGATCACTAAGAGAAGCATACATGCCTTTGATAAACTCAACAACCCTGTTGCTATGGGTGACATCAGAGGACAGATTTCTTTTGTCTTGCAATTGTCTTGCAATAAATATTGTGACATGTCTGTTAAAGGTCACTGTGCTGTTCTCTAAAGGCTGGTTTATACATTTAAAGTGTCAATCTAGAGTTACTTCTGTCTGCCAGCATGACCTGCAACTAAAGCACCTCCACCAGCCAGGATATTATGACAGGGCGTACTGGACAAGGCTAAATCTTCACAAGTCACACAAGCCCTGATTACCCAGAATCTTAGACAGACAGAAATATTTCACTATATGTCAATTATTTCTGGATCATAACATTGTCACAGACATGCTCCCCAAATGGTGCCCTATCAAACATACCAGTGCACTCTGACATGATATATAGAGAGGCATTTGTGCACACATGTACACACCAACTACAATAATTATAACAAGAGACAAGCAGTAACCATAGTAACATTATGAAAAGACTATTTAGGACGGACCAAATATAGTTCCATACACCAAGCACCTTAAGTACATCTTAAGTACATCTTCAGTGTTCAGGCCAAACAGTTGAATACACCCCTCATTAGGACGAGTGTGGTGTGTGTCACACAAACATGATAACAAGAGTCAAGTGTTTCTCAGGCAGGACAATGGGTTGGGAGTTGGTTTATTTTGGAATAATTAAGGAAAATATGAGATTGCTTCAATATGAAGAAAATACAGAACAAGGTCTTAGATTGTTTCACAGGTGGCAAGAAGAGCTTAAGCATTGATGATCACCTTGACCTGAGCAACATTTCACCATGTTTAGCCTCTAAGCTGGACTTACTATCAGTGTGGTGAGAATTTCATTCACTCATAAAATTATTCACTTAGCGCAGCAGAATATACCAATGGAGTTGGTGGAGGCTGCGTCTTAACTATATAAATGCTCTTTCATCAGAATGTAAACTGATCATCATGGGAAAGAGTTACAATATTTCTTGGTCTCCACAAGCTGGCTCCAGGACAAACAGTAATGGATGACTGGGATCTCAAACACAGGTTTGACAAAATTGTAACATGTGTTCGATAAAAGTGGACATTAATTTCAAGAAACTGATAAAGTGAGTGAGTGAGTGATTTTAGTTTTATGCCGCACTCTGTAAATATTCCAGCTATAGAAACTGATAAGGGATGGAAAGGCTAGCATGTTAGTGTTCTGATGGCCTGAACATGAACTGATACAGAGTTGTAACAAAAATAAATAAAAGCAGGACGACGCTGGTGATATTCAGTTCAGCTTTCACCAGCTACTGGCTGTGCTTCACTGGAGGCCAAGGTTTGACCTTGACCCTGAGGGTCATCTGTGGGTGAAGGGCTAGATTGTTCAGTGCTTGCAGTCTGTGCTTGCAAGCTGTACAGTTCTTGGATAAGTCTCTTGATGCCAACCATCCACTGGTTCACCTGAGGATGACAAGTACATGACACCAGTGTTACCTCACACACAATATTGCATCACTAATTCACAGATTCAATACAATCAACTACAGTGTAGTGTAGATGGCATAACTAACCCTTGTAGTGTAGATGGCATAATTAGCGCTTGTAGTGTAGATGGCATAACTAACCCTTGTAGTGTAGATGGCATAATTAGCGCTTTAGTGTAGATGGCATAACTAACCCTTGTAGTGTAGATGGCATAATTAGCGTTTGTAGTGTAGATGGCATAACTAACCCTTGTAGTGTAGATGGCATAATTAGCTTTTTGTAGAGTACAGCCAGTATGTACAGAGATGTCTGAAGTTTACACCACAGCTACTGGACAGATTTTTTAGTCATTTACATACTCAAAATGACAAGTCATACCAACAAGATACCTGAGTATGTCTGAGTTACTGAATCACCTGTCGTGTTTGATGTTTGATAACCATGCCTGGAACAATCAACAGCTGCTTCAAACACTGTAACCAAACACACTTACCTCATTTGTATAATCCACCATTAAAGACAAGTGGATGCTATTTGCAAGGTCAAGGTTGTTCTCTTTAGTGCTGAGGAGAGATTGAAATTAAAATTAACATGTGGACATGACAACTCCCCCAAAGCCAACTGGGGCAATGACAGTATTCATCTCCCCCTCTTTCTGCACTCAGTGTTAACTACTCAGGTTATCAGTACACAATACTGTAACTATCTCAAACACTGGGTAAAACACTGTAGATAACTTGATAATTCAGTACCACCATTAATATGGAAATACTGGTTCTAAACAAATCTGAAGCACACTATTGCCAGTGAACATTTAGAGTGTCTATACACAAGCACTATAGCAACTGTAGCATGTACAAGACGGGATGTGTGTTAATCATTTAAGGCTACGCAAAAAAAATATAATCACATAATGACAGTGGTAAATAATTGTGTATGGACCAGAACATCCAGTGACTGATCCTGTCAGCAACAATCCACACAATCAGGGTATGAACACATGCCATCAGCTACTCCATCCAGTAAGTTGTCTATAATGACCAACACGGGCGTCCTAAAGACTTGTACTGATTCCCCATCGAGGCTTAAGCAACAAGACGCTTACATGTCATATATTGTGGCTACCTTCAGCTTGAGCTGCCCAAGTCGCACTTTGACTGGTGGAGAGACTTGTCCCCCTGCCACATCTCCTGGAGCAGTGCTATCCTCCCAAGATCACATCCTCTGCAGCCCGACCCTGGGCGACCAGAATTAACACATTGAAAAATCAGCCCCAGTGTTCCTGGCAAACATTTTCAGGTAATACAGCCACCAACCTTCAACCTTTCACATTCCTTGCTTTCAGTCAGCAATGGTTATGCCATATGAATTAGCTTCAGACATTGAAAGAATCAAAAGGAATCCTATTGACAACGTCTAGTCTTCAGGGCTTAAATCCAGCTGTTCTTAAGTACTTTCTGGACACACAGTCTCAAACTGTCAGATGTGTCAAATAATACCCTCACAGTATTCCTCACTATTTCTTCTTCAAATCGGGTTGGCTAACTGACTCCTACACCACTGTACACCTAGGTTCAATATTTTGTTTTACACTGACATTGATTACAGCATATTCCTGTGAATACTGAGTTGTTCACACACTAACCTTTGAGTTGCCCACTGCATTTGTCCCTCACGGTCTTCAGAGCCTCCTGTATGTAGGTCAAGAGGTCGGCCTCATCCTCCATCTTCAGCCTTATGGTCACATCATCCAGCGCCTCCCTGTTCTCTGCCACTGGTCTGGCCACCCCAGGTGAGAGATCAACCCTGGAGACAGCTGAGACCCAGGCTCTGGGGGTGGGTATAAGAGTGGGGACCACCACAGGAAGAGGAGTGGGGGTACATGTGTTTACCGCAGGAGGTAATAGTTGTACATTTCCTAGCTTGGGAGGACCTTCAGCTGGATTCAGGATGCTGGCTGCAACATCAGCATTCATGACAGGTTAACAAAACTTAACATCTTTGACACATGGCACCATTTGCAGTGAAAATCTGGAGTGTGTTTCAAAACTCAATATCATATTATAACAAGTATATTTCTAACAAGTATTCTAACAGTGGACTATCATGATAATTCTTTTGAATTCAACAGTTAACAGTTGTGAATAAAACAAAAACACATTTATAGCATACCTACTTCTTTCAGTTTTTCTGAATGATGTATAAAAAGTTTTAAATAAAGGGAGACAATTTGAACTAGATGTCAAGTTGTCTCCCCTTCACTACTGTGCCCCCTCATACTGGTTCAGTCAGCTCCATGTCATTTGTCATCATTTTGTATTGATTACTAAACACAGTATCATCACCCTTTATGCTATAGCTCCACAGAACCAAACCATTACTCTAAACACATACAAACATATTAATGGAACATTGGCATTTCACTACTTTCTGATGTCAGCAACTATGATCACTGCGAGGTACATGCCTGGATTTATGAAGGTCTTTTTTCAACATTATCGCTCTCTTACCAGCCATACTAGTGCCATCACCAGCTGAAGGCGGAGTGTTGCCATGGGATACTTACTCTTTGTTGAGAGAGCAGAACGCCGAGGAGAGGCCTGGCTTTGAGCAGCAGCCCCATAGTCGAAGAGGGAGGGTCATTCCATCCCTCGGTCAGTGTTACCTGAAATAATAATACCATGACAGACAATGAACATTCATTGTTTTTCATGTTGCTGTTTCAAATTGCTTATTACTGCATAAAATTATGTTCTTCTTCTATATGGAATTTATCTGTATTTCATCAATCACAGAATGAACGTTTGCTTCACAATACTTATATCTGCTTTAGTCTCTGTTTGCCTATGCACATAAAAAATATTTCTCACAAATATAGTTTTTTCTTGTCACACACAAATCACTGTTACAGATTTCTTCTTACTATTCTTGGATAACTAATGTGTTTTGTACATCTGCAATGAAAAGACCCACGACATTTTGTTTACAAAATAAACAAACTAGAAGCTATAATCTACTTCCTTAATGAAAAGGTGATACAATGAGTTAAATTGGTTAAATTGGCATGTATTATACTGTATGTCGGAAGGAAAGGAGTCGAATGATAATTAAAAAGTCCACAATAAAGTGTTCCAACTAAACTGCACATCTTTTCGATTTGGATTTCTACCAAAGTGTCAATCATTTATTATTAGAAATGGTTCAGAGGTCATGTCTATCAAATCTGGTTCTTTGGCATCACAACCCTTTGTGGTAAAATTTGCAAAATCATATAGTGCATGGAATGCAAATGTCGATCACGAGTACGGCAAACGACAAGTTCGCCAACTCACCAGGCCTGGGAGCCGCCATGACAGTCACGTGACGTTCCAAGCCAATGATATTTTCCCCTAAATGGGGGGCACATGTAAGCTGTTACATCAATTGATCTCCACCCTTCTTAGACATATTTTGATTATTGATAGTTTATTTCATTAGCATTGAAATTTTAAATACAATCAACATAATATGCAATCTTGAAATAGACTCCAGTAGTCCATAGTAGTCGAAAATGTACACACATATTTTCCAAGGAATACTCAGTATATATATGTTATGTGAACGAACAGTTAATCCATATATCTAGAAAAGCGAACACATTGTCTTACATTACCATATCCAGAAAACTAATATTACTTATGTAGCCACACACATATTTTATGTATAAACCATTTTATCTATTGTGTTTTTGGTTTGTTTTTTTTGTTTTTTCTTCTTTGTTGCTTTTAAAAAAAAAAATTCTTTCTTTATTTTATTTTAATTTTGTTCTGATTTTATTTTTTTGTTAAGGCTTTTACAATGGTTACTTTGGTTAGAGTTTAACCTGCAAGGACCTTTTACGCCGCTTTTAGCAGCAATATTCTGCAAGCAATAGCACGGAGAAATGGGCGTTACACAATTACCCATGTGTGGAATCCAGACCCTGCATGGTCTTTTGTGAGACGAGTGGAAGCTTTTACCAATGGGCTACCTTATCGCAAGGGACCAACCATTTTATTTTCAGGGAGATAGCTAGAGAAAAACAAGTGCTTCCTTTGACTGATATTTGTGTAAGAGTCTTTGTGGTCTTATCTTGCAGTCACGTGTTCACGGAATACAGCTCAATATTTCTGTGCTTGTATAATGTTAGGAAAAAACCATAATGAGCTTTAGAAATAGCCTCAAATAAAAACTCCGCACACGTCAACTATGGCAACTTCTGGAATGAAGCACTAGTCTAGTGCAAAGGTTTCTTAATGTGTAAGGACGTATATCACGACATCGATCCTCAAGCATAAACAATATTATACAGATATTCATTTCTAACTTCTAGAGCAGGATATATAGGCGGACCAGCGAGGCTGCAAAGAAACAGTCGGCATATTCTACTGACTTTTCAAAACTTTCGATTTGATATGGTCTGGCAAAACGATAGTTCGAAACATTAAAAAACCAGGCCATTCTAGCCAAATGATTAATCCTATCCAAGATTCCCTCTCAATCCCGATTATCAGTAACCCATACTTGTCGTAAGAAGCGAATAACAGGTGATCGGATGAAAACGAAAACACCAGCCAATTTATCCTTAAATTAGTCCTATTCTATTAGATAAGCACGTCACATTAAAATGTTATTCGTGCCGTGTAGATACAGGAAGGAACCCCACCTATCTCACATTACAAGCACCAAATAACAGGCAAACTCCTTCTTACAACTTAGATAAGAACAGTTAACTAAACCCCAAATCAACCCCAAATAACTCCTTTAAACAAGTTACTTCCATCGATTTCAGCATGCCTTCCGCAAACCCCACTTGCACTCTCTTCCGCCAGCCAGTCCACGTTGTAATGCAAGGGTTCGACTCTAATGTGTGTTTCAGTGTGGTGCCCGCTCTCACAGGGAATTATGGGAGAAAATGGTTTCACGTTTTGCGTGTGTGTGTAGAAATAGCTGATCTAATGATGGATTTTCACACCCGTGAAGATCAGGGTTAGATTTGGCCTCAGCAGCCATGCTTGTACATAGTGAGGATCGGTGATCACTGCGGACTTGCTGACACATGTCATCGTGATCCCAATTGCGAAGATCGATGCTCATGATGTCAATCACTGAATTGTCTGGCCTAGACTGATCATTTACAGACCACCGTCATGAAGCTGCTGGAATACTGCCGAGTAAAAGTTAAATAACAAAGAAGCAAAACCCTTTATAGAAAGGGAGGCAACTCTCATGGATCTGGAGTTTGTTTCCCCTATTTATAACATAGATGTGGGAATCAGAAAAAGAAAAATCTCTTCTTGGATTTGAGGTAACTGTGCTTTGAGAAAGCCTCTCCACAGTGGTATTGTTCCAGGTTTAGTTTTACACACACAGCACCAACTGTATCGACTAATATACGCTCCGTCATTTCTTTAAGTTGCTGTGCGTTGTCGGAACCTCCAGGATTCGGCCTAATATCACTCAAGAAGGGACATGTAGCGCTGGTGCCACAGAACATGACCAACGACGAGGTGTTCTTGTCGATACAGTTGGTGCTGTGTGTGTAAACAAAAGCCACAGACAATACTACCTCGGAGAGGCTTCTCTCAAAACCATTAAAGTTACCCCAATCAGAAAAGATTTTCTTTTCTGACTTCCACATCTATGCATAAATAAGGGAAACAAACTCCAGATCCAGTGAGAGTTACCCCTTTCTATAAGGGCTCTTTGCTTTGTTATTTAACGCCACACCTCGGCAGTATTCCAGCTATATGACGGTGGTCTGTAAATGATCGAGTCTAGGCCAGACAATTCAGTGATTGACATCATGAGCATCGATCTTCGCAATTGGGATACGATGACATGTGTCAACCAAGTCCGCGAGCCTGATCACCCGATCCTCTTTTCACTATGTACAAGCATGGCTGCTGAAGACCAAATCTAACCCTGATCTTCACGGGTGTGTAAAGAAGATCCATCATTAGATCAGCTATTTCTACACACACACGCAAAACGTGAAACCATTTTCTCCCATAATTCCCTGTGAGAGCGGGCACCACACGGAAACACACATTAGAGTCAGACCCTTTACATTTACAACGTGGACTGGCGAGGAAGGGGTGCAAGTGGGGTTTTGCGAGCATGCTGGTATCGATGAGTAACTTGTTTAAGGATTATTTGGGTTGATTGGGTTTCTGGTTAACTGTTCTTATCTAAGTTGTGAAGGAGTTTGCCTGTTAGTGCTTGTAATGAGATAGGTGAGGTTCCTTCCTGTATCTACGGCACGAATAACATTTTAATGTGACGTGCTTATCTAATAGAATAGGACTAATTTAAGGATAAATTGATGGTGTTTCGCGTTTTCATCCGATCCTGTTATTCGCTTCTTACGACAAGTATGGGTTACTGATAATCGGGATTGAGAGGAATCTTGGATAGGATTAATCATTTGGCTAGAGTGGCCTGGTTTTTAATGTTTCGAACTATCCCGTTTTGCCAGACCATATCAAACGGTTTTGAAAAGTCCAGGAATATGCCGACTGTTTCTTTTGCAGCCTCGCTGGTCCGCCTATATATCCTGCTCTAGAAGTTAGAAATGAATATCTGTATAATATTGTTTATGTGGAGGATCGTGTCGTGATATACGTCCTTACACATTAAGAAACCTTTGCACTAGACTAGTGCTTCATTCCAGAAGTTGCAATAGTTGACGTGTGCGGAGTTTTTATTTTGACATATTTCTAAAAGCTCATTATGGTTTTCCCAACATTATACAAGCACAGAAATATTGAGCTGTATTCCTTGAACACGTGACTGCAAGATAAGACCACAAAGACTCTTACACAAATATCAGTCAAAGGAAGGCTTGTTTTTCTCAGCTATCTCCCTGAAAATAAAATGGCTGGTCCCTTGCGATAAGGTAGCCCATTGGTAAAAGCTTCCACTCGTCTCACAAAAGACCATGCAGGGTTCGATTCCACACATGGGTAATTGTGTAACGCCCATTTCTCCGTGCTATTGCTTGCAGAATATTGCTAAAAGCGGCGTAAAAAGGTCCCTTGCAGGTTAAACTCTAACCAAAGTAACTATTGTAAAAACCTTAACAAAAAAATAAAATCAAGAACAAAATTAAAATAAAATAAAGAAAGAATTTTTTTTTAAAAAAGCAACAAAGAAGAAAAAAAACAAAAAAACAAACAAAAAACACAATAGATAAAATGGTTTTATACATAAATATGTGTGTGGCTTTACATAAGTAATATTAGTTTTCTGGATATGGTAATGTAAGACAATGTGTTCGCTTTTCTAGATATATGGATTAACTGTTCGTTCACATAACATATATATACTGAGTATTCCTTGGAAAATATGTGTACATTTTCGACTACTATGGACTACTGGAGTCTATTTCAAGATTGCATATTATGTTGATTGTATTTAAAATTTCAATGCTAATGAAATAAACTATCAATAATCAAAATATGTCTAAGAAGGGTGGAGATCAATTGATGTAACAGCTTACATGTGCCCCCATTTGGGAAAATATCATTGGCTTGGAACGTCACGTGACTGTCATGGCGGCTCCCAGGCCTGGTGAGTTGGCGAACTTGTCGTTTGCCGTACTCGTGATCGACATTTGCATTCCATGCACTATATGATTTTGCAAATTTTACCACAAAGGGTTGTGATGCCAAAGAACCAGATTTGATAGACACATGACCTCTGAACCATTTCTAATAATAAAATGATTGACACTTTGGTAGAAATCCAAATCGAAAAGATGTGCAGTTTAGTTGAACACTTTATTGTGACTTTTAATTATCATTCGACTCCTTTCCTTCCGACATACAGTATAATACAAGCCAATTTAACCAATTTAACTCATTGTATCACCTTTCATTAAGGAAGTAGACATAGCTTCTAGTTTGTTTATTTGTAAACAAAATGTCGTGGGTCTTTTTCATTGCAGATGTACAAAACACATTAGTTATCCAAGAATAGTAAGAAGAAATCTGTAACAGTGATTTGTGTGACAAGAAAAACTATATTTGTGAGAAATATTTTATGTGCATAGGCAAACAGAGACTAAAGCAGATATAAAGTATTGTGAAGCAAACGTTCATTCTGTGATTGATGAAATACAGATAAATTCCATATAGAAAGAAGAACATAATTTTATGCAGTAATAAGCAATTTGAAACAGCAACATGAAAACAATGAATGTTCATTGTCTGTCATGGTATTGTATTTCAGGTAACACTGACCGAGGATGGAATGACCCTCCCCTCTTCGACTATGGGGCTGCTGCTCAAAGCCAGGCCTCTCCTCGACGCTCTGCTCTCAACAAGAGAGAAGCGTGATTCCATGGCAACACCGCCTTCAGCTGGTGATGGCACTAGTATGGCTGGTAAGAGACGATAATGTTGAAAAGACCTTCATAAATCCAGGCATGTACCTGCGAGTGATCATAGTTGCTGACATCAGAAAGTAGTGAAATGCCAATGTTCCATTAATATGTTTGTATGTGTTTAGAGTAATGGTTTGGTTCTGTGGAGCTATAGCATAAGGGGTGATGATACTGTGTTTAGTAATCAATACAAAATGATGACAAATGACATACGACTGAACCAGTATGAGGGGGCATTGTAGGAAGGGGAGACAACTTGACATCTAGTTCAAATTGTCTCCCTTTATTTAAAAACTTTTTATACATCATTCAGAAAAACTGAAGAAGTAGGTATGCTATAAATGTGTTTTTGTTTTATTCACAACTGTTAACTGTTGAATTCAAAGAATTATCATGATAGTCCACTGTTAGAATACTTGTTAGAAATATACTTGTTATAATATGATATTGAGTTTGAAACACACTTCAGATTTTCACTGCAAATGGTGCCATGTGTCAAAGATGTTAAGTTTTGTTAACCTGTCATGAATGCTGATGTTGCAGCCAGCATCCTGAATCCAGCTGAAGGTCCTCCCAAGCTGTGGGAAATGTACAACTATTACCTCCTGCGGTAAACACATGTACCCCCACTCCTCTTCCTGTGGTGGTCCCCACTCTATACCCACCCCAGAGCCTGGTCTCAGCTGTCTTCCAGGGTTGATCTCTCACCCTGGGGTGGCCAGACCAGTGGCAGAGAACAGGGAGACGCTGGATGATGTGACCGCAAGGCTGAAGATGGAGGATGAGGCCCACCTCTTGACCTACATACAGGAGGCTCTGAAGACCGTGAGGGACAAATGCAGTGGGCAACTCAAGGTTAGTGTGTCAACAACTCAATATTCACAGGAATATGCTGTAATCAATGTCAGTGTAAAACAAAATATTGAACCTCGTGTGTACAGTGGTGTAGGAGTCAGTTAGCCAACCGATTTGAAGAAGAAATAGTGAGGAATACTGTGGGTATTATTTGACACATCTGACAGTTTGAGACTGTGTCCAGTACTTAAGAACAGCTGGATTTAAGCCCTGAAGACTAGACGTTGTGTCGATCTTTTGATTCTTTCAATGTCTGAAGCTAATTCATATGGCATAACCATTGCTGACTGAAAGCAAGGAATGTGAAAGGTTGAAGGTTGGTGGCTGTATTACCTGAAAATGTTTGCCAGGAACACTGGGGCTGATTTTTCAATGTGTTAATTCTTGTCGTCCAGGGTCGGGCTGCAGAGGATGTGATGCGGAGGATAGCACTGCTCCAGGAGATGTGGCAGGGGGGACAAGTCTCTCCACCAGTCAAAGTGCGACTTGGGCAGCTCGCTGAAGGTAGCCACAATAACTTGTTTGAGTGGCATTTTAGAAGTTGAGACGTACAATATATAACAAGTTTTATGGATAACAACTTCTTTATTTTCGTGAGTGCGACGTTTCGATACAGATTCTTGTACCGTTGTCAAGCAAGAGTGATACATGAAGTGTAGGAGCTGCATATATATACTGTATATAACAATGAAACAACATAATAGACAAAGGAAACAACATAATTGCCATGATTGGCTAAGCAGTAAGCTGATGAAGCCAGTAAGTACATAAAGGATAGTGAGTGGAAGCCAGAGATGTAGTCAACAGAACCATCGAAGCAACGCTTTCACCTCCTGCCAAAAGGTCTAAACCAGAATCAGCCCCCATCAAGATATCCATTCCCTACATTGGTAAACCATCACACCAAATCAGCCGACTCCTGAAACAACAGGCAGGAATAGACACTACCTTCTCAGCGTCCTCCAGCCTCAACAACCTCCTCCATGCCAACGGAAGAAAACAACCCAATCGGGCCAACAACAACAACCCGCAAAATAGACTGTGATTGTGGACAATGCTACATAGGTGAAACATCCCCACCCATCAACACCCGAAGTAAAGAACATCGACCTCTGTTGCTAATTCTCGGCTATCTCTGACCACATCAAAGCCAACCCCAATCATCAAATAGAGTGGTCCCGACATCACCATTCTCGCCAACAACCAAACGGATTCTCTACTAAACGAGTCACAGTAGCCATTCACATCAAACGCCACAAGCCTACCATCAACCGCAAGGACAAGGATACTTCATTCCATCTGCTTATGATCCACTCCTCCACCAGGCCCAGTCTATTGTATAAACATCGCGATCCATTGTATAAACATCTCATTGTAACTACATCTCTGGCTTCCACTCACTATCCTTTATGTACTTACTGGCTTCATCAGCTTACTGTTAGCCAATCATGGCAATTATGTTGTTTCCTTTGTCTATTATGTTGTTTCATTGTTATATACAGTATATATATGCAGCTCCTACACTTCATGTATAACTCTTGCTTGACAACGGTACAAGAATCTGTATCGAAACGTCGCACTCACGAAAATAAAGAAGTTGTTAGCCACAATATATGACATGTAGCGCCTTGTTGCTTAAGCCTCGATGGGGAATCCAGTACAAGTCTTTAGGACGCCGTGTTGGTCATTGTAGACAACTTACTGGATGGAGTAGCTGATGGCATGTGTTCATACCCTGATTGTGTGGATTGTTGCTGACAGGATCAGTCACTGGATGTTCTGGTCCATACACAATTATTTACCACTGTCATTATGTGATTATATTTTTTTTGCGTAGCCTTAAATGATTAACACACATCCCGTCTTGTACATGCTACAGTTGCTATAGTGCTTGTGTATAGACACTCTAAATGTTCACTGGCAATAGTGTGCTTCAGATTTGTTTAGAACCAGTATTTCCATATTAATGGTGGTACTGAATTATCAAGTTATCTACAGTGTTTTACCCAGTGTTTGAGATAGTTACAGTATTGTGTACTGATAACCTGAGTAGTTAACACTGAGTGCAGAAGAGAGGGGAGATGAATACTGTCATTGCCCCCAGTTGGCTTTGGGGGAGTTGTCATGTCCACATGTTAATTTTAATTTCAATCTCTCCTCAGCACTAAAAGAGAACAACCTTGACCTTGCAAATAGCATCCACTTGTCTTTAATGGTGGATTATACAAATGAGGTAAGTGTGTTTGGTTACAGTGTTTGAAGCAGCTGTTGATTGTTCCAGGCATGGTTATCAAACATCAAACACACGACAGGTGATTCAGTAACTCAGACATACTCAGGTATCTTGTTGGTATGACTTGTCATTTTTGAGTATGTAAATGACTAAAAATCTGTCCAGTAGCTGTGGTGTAAACTTCAGACATCTCTGTACATACTGGCTGTACTCTACAAAAGCTAATTATGCCATCTACACTACAAGGGTTAGTTATGCCATCTACACTACAAACGCTAATTATGCCATCTACACTACAAGGGTTAGTTATGCCATCTACACTACAAACGCTAATTATGCCATCTACACTACAAGGGTTAGTTATGCCATCTACACTACAAACGCTAATTATGCCATCTACACTACAAGGGTTAGTTATGCCATCTACACTACACTGTAGTTCGGTGTATTGAATCTGTGAATTAGTGATGCAATATTGTGTGTGAGGTAACACTGGTGTCATGTACTTGTCATCCTCAGGTGAACCAGTGGATGGTTGGCATCAAGAGACTTATCCAAGAACTGTACAGCTTGCAAGCACAGACTGCAAGCACTGAACAATCTAGCCCTTCACCCACAGATGACCCTCAGGGTCAAGGTCAAACCTTGGCCTCCAGTGAAGCACAGCCAGTAGCTGGTGAAAGCTGAACTGAATATCACCAGCGTCCGCCCTGCTTTTATTTATTTTGTTACAACTCTGTATCAGTTCATGTTCAGGCCATCAGAACACTAACATGCTAGCCTTTCCATCCCTTATCAGTTTCTATAGCTGGAATATTTACAGAGCGCATAAAACTAAAATCACTCACTCACTCACTTTATCAGTTTCTTGAAATTAATGTCCACTTTTATCGAACACATGTTACAATTTTGTCAAACCTGTGTTTGAGATCCCAGTCATCCATTACTGTTTGTCCTGGAGCCAGCTTGTGGAGACCAAGAAATATTGTAACTCTTTCCCATGATGATCAGTTTACATTCTGATGAAAGAGCATTTATATAGTTAAGACGCAGCCTCCACCAACTCCATTGGTATATTCTGCTGCGCTAAGTGAATAATTTTATGAGTGAATGAAATTCTCACCACACTGATAGTAAGTCCAGCTTAGAGGCTAAACATGGTGAAATGTTGCTCAGGTCAAGGTGATCATCAATGCTTAAGCTCTTCTTGCCACCTGTGAAACAATCTAAGACCTTGTTCTGTATTTTCTTCATATTGAAGCAATCTCATATTTTCCTTAATTATTCCAAAATAAACCAACTCCCAACCCATTGTCCTGCCTGAGAAACACTTGACTCTTGTTATCATGTTTGTGTGACTTTGTAAACACACCACACTCGTCCTAATGAGGGTGTATTCAACTGTTTGGCCTGAACACTGAAGATGTACTTAAGATGTACTTAAGGTGCTTGGTGTATGGAACTATATTTGGTCCGTCCTAACTAGTCTTTTCATAATGTTACTATGGTTACTGCTTGTCTCTTGTTATAATTATTGTAGTTGGTGTGTACATGTGTGAACAATGCCTCTCTATATCATGTCAGAGTGCACTGGTATGTTTGATAGGGCACCATTTGGGGAGCATGTCTGTGACAATGTTATGATCCAGAAATAATTGACATATAGTGAAATATTTCTGTCTGTCTAAGATTCTGGGTAATCAGGGCTTGTGTGACTTGTGAAGATTTAGCCTTGTCCAGTACGCCCTGTCATAATATCCTGGCTGGTGGAGGTGCTTTAGTTGCAGGTCATGCTGGCAGACAGAAGTAACTCTAGGTTGACACTTTAAATGTATAAACCAGCCTTTAGAGAACAGCACAGTGACCTTTAACAGACATGTCACAATACCCTATGAAGCCATTCATGAAAATTTATTGCAAGACAAAAACGGAGAAATCTGTCCTGTGATGTCACCCTAGCAACAGGGTTGTTGAGTTTATCAAAGGCATGTATGCTTCTCTTAGTGATCTTTCATCTCACTGATGCCTGAATAAGGCCAGCGATGTTGAGAAGCTTCATCTTAGTTTACTTCCTGCAGCCTGCAGCAACATGCCCTGGCAGGAGCCGCTGTATAGATGCATTTTGTTTTTATGGAAGCATTACTTGTTTTTTAACAATACGAAGGTGGCGATTTCCAGTCTGTTGAATTCTAACAAAAACTGATTGGTTTTCCTAGTGACATGTGCCCCACAGCACAGATTTCCTCTCGAGATGTTTTAGTGCTGAATTCTAAAGGTGCTCTGAATGTCTGGTTGAAGTCATGTATGTTAGCCTTTGTTATGAATACACATTGCCATTTAGAAAGTGGTCAATAGTTATTGCAGTTATATTTAGATTACACTTTCTTAGTAAAGTACAGATTCTGGTGCTTTACTGAGAAAGTGTAATCCCAAATATAACATGTAAGCCTTTGTTGATGAAACTGTATGTCATCAAGTCAGACCTGATATTGTTGTATACTGCTTAATAGTGTCTGTATTATCATTCAGTTATTACTGACCTACTGATTCTAGTCGGTGTAACAGAGCCACCCAAACAAAGCTGCCTGCCCTCTCAGTGAACCAATCATGCTGACATTTGGAGGACGACTGTTTTTATCCCCCCGTCCGTCCGTCCGTGCACATTTGTCTTTTCCGGAGCAGAACTCTAAATCCGTTCAATATTTCTTCACCAAGCTTGGCACATAGATAGATCTGCCTTTTGGTAGTTTTGGAATTCTGAATAAAATATTTTTGGCTTTTCCGTGGCAACAAGTTTGACTTAGCCTGAAATTGGTGGTAGTGCTCTTTTCCGGAGCAGAATTCTAAAACAGTTAACTATTTCTTCACCAAACTTGGCACATAGATAGATCTGGCGGTGTACTGGTGCCTTTTGGTAGTTTTGGAATTCTGAATAAAATATTTTTGGCATTTCCATGGCAACAAGTTCGACTTAGAATGAAATTAGTGGTAGTGCTCTTTTCCGGAGCTGAACTCTGAAACCGTTCACGATTTCTTCACCAAACTTGGCACATAGATAGATCTGGTGGTGTACTGGTGCCTTTTGGTAGTTTTGGAATTCTGAATAAAATATTTTTGGCTTTTCCGTGGCAACAAGTTTGACTTAGCCTGAAATTGGTGGTAGTGCTCTTTTCCAGAGCAGAACTTAAAAAACCTTTCAATACTCTCCTTCCACTTTTCTATATACACACCTAAATATTTGACATAATCATAACTCGTAGACATAATCATGAAGAGTATTTTGCCATTGCCGGGGATATTGATGACTTTGTCTTCTTGTTATTGTTGTGTGTTTAACATCTCCAGACCTTCAAGATAGGTTTGAAATTATGGTCTGATAGTCAGGACACCAGAGTCCCCATTGTTATCATATTTCCAGGCAGAGTTGTGTCCCTTACCAGTGCAGGATTTGCTGGTAAGTCAGTACAGTGCATCTTTGGCATGCATCACTTTGGGATATTCTAATCACATGAAACTGTTCAAACGAAGCGGTAATTTAAACAATATTTAATACGTTTACTGGGATTTTAAGACCAACTCACTCAGGGATATAAGAAGCAAATGTCATTGAGTCGATGACTCAACGTGATACATAGTTCTCTGTATAGCAGAGGTTGGAGCAGGTCCCAAGTCTTTCACTGCAACTTGTTTGAAACATCGATATTTTGATGTCTTTTATAACTATTGTTATACACTTAATACATGAAATTGGTTTTTAATCTTTATTTGTTCTGGTAGTTGTAGTTTCCTGTAAGCCACACCTGTATCAGGCCTACAGTATATAGGTCAAATAGTGATTTCCTGACAACTTGTTGTATAGTGTGTATCTTCATTACATGACTATACCAATGATAGATACCTTGATCTACAGGACTGGTCATAGCCCAACCTGTCTTTATGTATGTGCATATCTCTGGTACAAAAGTAACATGTGCTAACGTATTCGTAAAGAACACAAGAAGCTTTATTCCTACACATTTTGCCATCCTGGATTCTCCGGTATAATACCCTGTACCTGTTTGTAACCATAGATTTGATTTGCATCTGAAAAATAGAAAATGGATGTTTGTAATGCACTACAGTCTATTCGTTAATGCATGCTGAAATTGCTAACTCCATTATTACTGCAGGGATCATTGTGCTATTCTATTGTATACTCTTAAAAAAAAGAGCAGGGGAACTTCATTTTTAATTCACAACTGATAAAAATGGGAGATATATTGGAGTCAATCAATGTTGATATAATAATAATGAATGTTATCACCACTTGCACTTCCTTATGACCATAGTTGTTTGTACAGTAATCACTCTTGGCAGATGATTGGTGTGTGACGGAAATTTGCATGTGTACGATTTTTCTTTCTCTCAAACAAAAACCCTAGAAACTAACACTAACAACTGTGTGATGCAAGATGATTGTTAAAATTAATGGTCTACAGTGAGTTATCAACCTTCTTGAAAACCGGCCAAAATCAAGAATGATACCCCATGCACGCGTATGGGGCTACTGCGTTGTGGACGTGCATCCCATGCATTGTGTTTTGGGGTAGTGAATAAAGAGAAATGGTGGTGTATTCATAAGATGTCTGTCTTTGAAATATTTGTTAATACTTATACTTCCTATCCAAATCGAAATTTCAGTTTCCCCTACTTGTTTTAAGAGTACATTTCTCAGCTCCCTTAGAAAGTATGCAACCTGGGCTGCTAGTGCGGTGCTCATCCCATACTTCAGGGTGCATGTGTACTCTTGGATGAAAGACACATCTAGTGTGGGGAATTCCCAAAGCCCCACAAACTCATCACTTCTCCGCACTTCTCCGTCCTAGAAGCAAGCTGCCAAGCTGATGTGATATACTGGAATAGTGTTGAAAACAGGATTAAACCCACCTTTCTCACTCACTCTCTCACTTGTAAGTCTTGATTAGAGATGCTGTGGCTTTGAATGGGTTCAGGGTATTGGGATGAAGTTCACATATACAGGATGGATGAGGATTACATTACCTGGATGAGGTGTACACTACTCTATCCTATATCCTACTAGCTATCTACTGCTTGGAGACTAGTCTTCTCTAACAGAAAACACCAGTCTAAGTAAACTTAGACTCAGTATTATTCGTTACACTGCTTATACTGAGTCTAAGAAACCCTAGTAGAAGGTCGCGTCAGCTAACCTTTTAAATTGACCAATCAGAACACTGCTTACCAAATCGCGAAAGTTGACAATAACACATACAACTTTTACCTCGAAAGCGCTTGTACCCGAACGATTCTGAATGCTATTTTCCGTATGATCGCTTCCGAGTGATGCACATGGAGCACCCCCACAACAGTGAGTAAACAGTTCTTTTGGTCAATATTGAAGGATGTCAGCATGCGGAAATATTAGCTAATGGTAACCATGTCATCACAAAGCCCTAAGCGTACATACTGCAGGTGAAATGCCTGTGTTATATGTGGATTTTCGTTTTTTGAGAGATCAGTGTCAGTGACAGGGGAATTTTGTAAGTCCCGCCAAAACCATAAACAGTAGCCGTTGTCTGATTGGTTAAATCCATTCGTCCGTCTCACATTTGATTGGACGATCATAGGTCGCTCAAAGGTTAGCTGACGCTACCTTCCACTTGGGTTTGTTAGACTCAGTATAGCAGTGTAACGAATAAT